GGTGGTGGTGGTGGTGGTGGTCGTGGTGGTGGTGGGATGAATTGGGAGGTTGGGATTGACATGTATACACGGATGCATATAAAATCTATGACTAATAAGAACCTTCTGTATAAAAAAAAATTCAAAAAAATAAAGTAAAAGAAAAGAGTAGTTATATTCTGCTGAGTAATTGCCACCTTCATGTTGGAACCAGTGCAACTATAGAGCCTGCACTCTCAATGAGGACAATATCTCCCCCTAGGGAGTGGTTCTTGGGGGCAAAAAAAATTATTTTTCTAATGTATAAAGCACAGATTTATATAGAACATATAATACATAAACAGACGTACAGTATATCTGTGGTATTCAAGTTGAATGTGGGTGTTGGTTAGGAAAAAAGTATCTAAATAGAAGTGAGGGTGGGGGAACGTAGAGAATAAGGAAATAAAGCATTTGAGAAACAAGCTGTAGAGCCTAGGGAAATACTTCTACCTAAAACTGTGCTTTTCAGCCAGGGAGTTAAATAGCATTGGACCATCCCTCTTGGACTGCATTTAGCTTGTAATTTCTGCCTTTTCAAAGTTCTCCCTAGTTGGTTTAGTTTCTGTTTGAAATACTACAACTACTGTCCCTTCTCTTAAAGCACGAGGAATATCACCAGAATAAAGGTCTCTGTGTACACCCATAGCAAAGACTCCCATGTAGTATCACTAAAAATATCCAATTCCCATGTAGCCCTTCTTTTCCATCCTATATCGCCTTTAAGAAGAGAAAATCAAGCCCCAGTAAACAGATGCTAATCCAAACAGTATACTATGAGAGTAGTCAAGTTTTATTCCACCATCTCGTCAAGAAAAAGGAGAATCCTACATAAATAATTTTAAGCTGTATGTTTAATCTGCTAAAATTACATTACAAACTTTGGACTATTCTAGATAAAAAAGAAATGACTGTATACTTTAAAATGGTTAAGATGTTAATTTTTTAAAATAAATTTATTTATTTACTTTTGGCTGCATTGGATCTTCGTTGCTGCATGCAGGCTTTCTCTAGTTGTGGCGAGTGGGGGCTATTGCGGTGCGCACGCTTCTCATTTTGGTGGCCTCTCTTGTTGCCGAGTGCAGGCTCTAGGTGCGCGGGCTTCAGTAGTTGTGGCACACGGGCTCAGTAGTTGTGGTTTGCAGGTTCCAGAGCGCAGGCTCAGTAGTTGTCGTGCACGGGCTTAGTTGCTCCGAGACATGTGAGATCTTCCCGGACCAGGGCTCGAACCCGTGTCCCCTGCACTGGCAGGCGTATTCTTAACCACTGCGCCACCAGGGCAGTCCCAAGGTGGTAAATTTTATAGTATGTATATTTTACCACAATTTTAAAAAATGACAGCTTTATTTTTCACTCTAGTCCAATGCCAAGCATGAACCTTTTTTCCCCCTTATTATTGTTCTTAATAAAAGAGCATCCAACGAATCTGAAGGCCCTTCCACATATAACTTTCTGATTCTGTGATCTACCATTCAAAAGAGAATAGGTTGTCCCCCCCCGCCCCATGGCAAATTAGATCTCTCAGTTTAGTTAGAGGTCCCTAGCCTTGTTCTACTGGTCCTTGCTCCTTCTTTCCTTAAATTAGAGTAACCACTGTACAGCCTCTCCACTACTCCAACCTCATACACATACACCACCACCATCACATCACCTCACATTTACAGCTTGGAAAACACTAAAAAGGAGATGTCATCGTAGCCACAGCCATTTTGTGAGAATCTGGCTCCAAGGATCTTAAACACATTTTCTCATAGAGTAGTACAATTATTTCTTAAGTCAGGAGCTAATATATGTAAATCAAGTAAATCATTGAAATTTTAAAAAACCCACAGAATAGCCAAAGGACACTAATCAAAGAAGAGCACAAAAGTCTCCTCTCTCTTTGGCTAATGTCTGTTCTAATAGGTAGCAAGAGAACTTTATTGGGTATTGAGTGTAAGAAGAACCCCTTACTTGGTATTACTGATCACTGGGGCAAGGAAAACACCCCAAACTACAGCTGGAAAACAGTTTTTAGAGATCTGTATGTAAACAAATACAAATCAACATGATTTAAATTCTTTTATGACAAGCTCCACACAGAGAAGCACCTGCCCAATTAATTTTGCAACATAAAGTTTATGATTCTCATCCTATTTCTAGTTCTTCCATTTCTCAGCTATCCAGCCTATGCTATTGCCTGCTTCTTATATCTAAAGTTCAGTCTGATTGTGTTCCTTTCTCTGGAAAAAATTTTAAGTGGCTCCCTAGTACATACTGAATACTGAATTTAAGACTGAAGGATATGTCCAAGACCAACCCTATTTCCTGGTGAAACTAAACTAATAGATTTTCCCTAAAGATCTCCAGCTTTGTCAGACTTCGTGTAGCTATTTCTTTGGTCTGAAATTTCTTCTTTCCATACGTCTAAATCCATAGAATTATCTGTCTATCATCTCTGTATCATGTGGTAGAAATTAATTTTGTTGTAAATAACACAAGCAGAATAATCTTGCAAACACTGGTTGGTAGGGAAAGCAGAAAATGGAATGGAAACAGACGGGGCTATTTTTGAAGGTAATCTGAAAGAAGTGACTTTTGATCTGGACTCCAAAAGACGTGCTAAAAAAGTCATTTCCACACAGGTGGGCAGATTTCCCTGATTAGGTGGAGAGCAAGGAGGGCATTGAGCAAAAGAATAAATACCTTTGTACTTCCTTTACTTATCCTGCAGAGCTGAGGGCAAAGAGTAAGATCTGTTCAGCTTCGTCCCAACCCCCCAGCCCTACCATTCTCCCTCTCTCCTTTCTTTCCACACGCAGCAAGATCCCATTTTCCCCTCGCCTCCAGTTCCAGCAGACAAGAAGGAAAAGATCTTATGTTACTTTTTCTTCATTTGATTTAATTTTTGCATTTATTCCACCAACACTTATTGACTACTGATGTGTTCCAGGCATTTTACTAGGCACTAGAGAGAGAAGGATGGAAGAGAAAGATAAAAGAATAAATGGGGGCTTCCCTGGTGGCGCAGTGGTTGAGAGTCCGCCTGCCGATACAGGGGACACGGGTTCGTGCCCCGGTCTGGGAAGATCCCACATGCCGCGGAGCGGCTGGGCCCGTGAGCCATGGCTGCTGAGCCTGCGCGTCCAGAGCCTGTGCTCCGCAATGGGAGAGGCCACAACAGTGAGAGGCCCGCATACCAAAAAAAAAAAAAAAAAATTGGATAACCAACAAGGACCTACTGTATAGCGCAGGGAACTCTGCTCAATATTCTGTGACAACCTAAATGGGAAAGGAATTTGAAAAAGAATAGATACATGTTGTTAGCCAACTACACTTCAATATAAAATAAAAAGTTAAAAAAAAAAAAATCCCATGAGCAGTGAACTTAGACTCCATGGTGCTTCTCCCATTGTTTGGTGTCTCTCCCTCAACACACACCTATAGCTTCATAAGAGTTCGCCACAGCCAGGCAACAGAGGAGGGAAGAGGCAGCCTTATGCAAAGTAAGCTGGCACCAGTCAAAAGTGTTGGCTGCTACCTTACAGCCCCTCTCAGGGATGCTCCGAAATCTAGTAGAAAGAGAAATCATCCTGACAGACAGAACTTGGAGTAGTACATCTGTTTTCCATTTTTCATGAAACAAGAGATGGCCTAATATAAGATTTACACTGACTCATAGGTGGCGGCTAATGTGTTGGCCAGCTGGTACCTTAGGGACTTGAAGAAAACAAGATTGAAAGACTAGTGACAAAGAGGTCGGGGCGGTGGGGGTTGGATTTAGGAAAGGATCTCTTGAAGTTGGCAGTTGTGTTTTGTGGAATACTTTCCAGAGAACAAGATGATCTGCCCCCATGGATGCCAGTCAACTTCCCCCAGCTTCCTGGGGGCCTGCGGAAAGTATAGTGTCAACGGTGTAGGTATGGAGGTCAAGCATGCACTCAACTGTACTGACTTGCCTCCTGCATTTTGCTGAGTTTAGAAACTGGTGAAAGCAGAGACCAACACTGAGCCCCCAATATGGCACCATTCCCTGTTGTCCTTGTCGGACGGCCTCTCTTCCCAGCTCACATGCTACAATAACACTATTGACTCACCTCCCCAGCAACTGTAAGAGGGAGGAGGAAATGGATTTGAGAAATACTTGTGAAGGCAGAAGAGAGGAACTGATGGTCACGTGAATGTAGCAGGAGAGTGGAGAAGAGAAACTGAGATGACTCAAGCCTTTAGTTTTTGTAACTGGTGAATGGGGTCACTTTTTTTTTTTTTGAGCTGTGTTTTTATTTTTATTCTATTATTTTTTTAACATCTTTATTGGAGTATAATTGCTTTACAATGGTGTGCTAGTTTCTGCTTTATAACAAAGTGAATCAGCTATACATATACATATATCCCCATATAATGAAGACAGAGATGATCAGAGAAGGGGTGAGGCTGATGGAAAGGAGAAAGAGCTCAGTTCCAGCCTCTGGAGCTCGGTGTGAATAAGGGTGTGTGTCATAAGCAACTAGTAGCCAGAGGGGAAAAGATCCCTGAGCTCAGAAGCAACATCTGGGTTGGAGATAAAGGATGGAAACTGGAATTTATTCATAATCATGTGTTAATGCTCCATAGGACTTTGCACTTTTAATCTTTTACCTCTAACTTTGGACAGAGAGGTTTTGCAGCTGAGTGAGCAAGCAGAAGAGGCCTTTTAGGGAGTAGGGGTACTTAATCCACAAGAGAGGAAGTAAGCATAGAGTTAGAACCTAACTGCAAAGGTTCACCTGTGTTTTTCAGACTGAAAGTGCCAAGTGCACAGATATCATCTATCTTGGTCCCCCTTCTCTATCACCAGCATCTAGATGAGACTCTGACACTTTGTATCCACTCAAATATTTGTGGAATGGGTGAAATAAATAGGAGGATGTGGGAATGAGTGAATGAAGAAAAAAAGGAATGAGTGAAGGAACCTACAGGGCATCCTGGAGGAAGGGAGGAAGAAACCACACCTGACCTTTTACCTTTTCCCAAAAATCCTCTTTGCAGGACTGAAAGATGAAAGGCCCTGTGGAGTAGTGGTTAAGAACATGGACTCTGAATTCAGGCTCCACGACTTCCTAGCTGCCTGGACTTGGCCAAGTGACTTAACCTCCTGTGCCTAGGCTTCCTCCCTGTAAAATAAACACATAAATGCTTAGAGCAGCTCCTGGGAAAAAGTTAAGTTCCACATAAGTGTTAGTGTTATTATTTTTGGCATCTTGATGAGAAGGTAAGCCTGCAAGACAAGCCAGAAATCCCCTGTGGAGAAAGAATCCAGACACAGCCTCTAAGTGCCATCCACAAGTGATCAGCCACTTTTTCTCTCTCTTGGCCTTCCAGAAGATTTAAACACCCCAGAACTCCCCAACATACCATTCACTGGCAAAGGACTGAGGGGCCTGGGTTTTAGCTTCAGCTGCCAGCAGTGAGCTGTGTGTTTGCAAAACCCCGTGCCTTCTCTGGGCTAGGTCCCCTTGCCTGCCCACGCGAGGTTGCAGGAACTGAGAGCAGAGGTCCCTTTCAGTTAAGGCCGACCATGGTCTCCCGCCGGGCGGCAGCAGGTCTGCAGCCTCAGGGCTCGGCATCGGATGCCACGCGCTGGCTACACGCTGCTCGGGCGGTCACACCCCTCCTGCGCGCCCAGCAGACGCCCCGTGCCCGGCGCGCCCGTAGGGAGGTGCCTCTCGGGCGTCCCCCTGCCGGGACGCCACTGCCGGGGCCCGGCGCGCCTTCGCTCGCAGCCTGCCCGCGGCCCTTTATACTCAACCGGACCGGCGCTCACTAATGTTTAACTCGGGGTTGAAACTTGGGAGCGCCGAGTGACTGCGCGCCCGGAGCTGCGGAGCTGCACGCGCCTCAGGGAGGCTCGCCTGACTTCTGCCTGCACTCCCGCTCCGAAAGCTTAGCTCTGAGGAGACGCTGACCATGAAGGTGAGTGAGTAGCTGGCCTCCCCCCACCCACCCGCCCCAACAGCCCCAGGGGCGAGTTGTAGGTGCCTTTTCACCAAACTCTCCCCAGATTGCCCCCAAAGCTTCCGGGTCGAAACCAGGGGCTCTCATTAGGCGGAAGCTTCAGGGCCACGCTCTGACAGGTGAAGGGACGCCCCAGGGCTCTCGCCTGGCTCTCGGACCCGCGGGCTTTCTGCTAGAACCCAGGCACCGAGCCTTGGAGAACCTGGAGGGCCACCCGCAAATCGCACGCCTGAACCCTCACTTGGCTTCTGAGTTGTAGGCCTAGAGAAGCAAACAATTAAAGTGTTCAGAGGCCAAAAGTTCAAGGGAGACAGCTCTTGCAACCTCCGACTGGCACGCTCCAAACCCTCCCATCCCGCGGTGCCTCTCTCCCAGTGCGCGCCCGTCGGCAAACCCCGCTGCCTCGGGTGCAGCCCAGGCCCCGACCCTCTTACCCAGACTGGGGCCAAGCGGCTGGCTCTAACTGGACGTGATCTGCCCGGCTTGCAGACACCGTGGAAGGTGCTCCTGGGACTGCTGGGGATCGCTGCGCTCGTCACCGTCATCACCGTGCCTGTGGTTCTGCTGAACAAAGGCAGTAAGTTTAAAACATTTGAAAAAGATAAGACAGTTGGAGACCGGGATCAGGTTCTATTTTACCACACCAAGGAGACCTAGGGATTTTGCTGGGGACTGGGTGGGATCGGTGTGCCAGGTCGTCGCTGAGGCTTTGCTGGCGTGGTCGCCGCTAGATTCGCTTCGTTGGTCTCCAGTGTTTAGGCTACGAGAGCCTTGCACCTGCCACGTCTTGTGTATGGCAAATACATACTTCCTGAAAATAAAGGGAAGTTTTAAGATTTCTTTATGTTAAATTTGAATTTAGTACCTTTTGAATGTAAATTTAAAAAAAAAAAACAACTTTCGTGGTTGTGATTTTCAAAGGAAAAAAGGCAGTGTTCAAAGATCCCAAACAGCAGTAAGGATGTCATAAGGGGAGGGAAAAAAATAAGAAAGCAAGTCCCCAAATACAGTTTTGAGAAAAGATAGTGCTTGGGGAGCCCAGGGAGTTTTCCTTCAGGGATGATGGAAATCCATCAGTTGGAGAGTTGGGATGCAGGAAAATAACTACTTGACCACTTATAGAAGTAAGTATTTCAGAGTTAAATCATAAAGCTGGTATCCATGGTAATATTCAGAGGAGGTGGGATCAATGATGTTTGGTGGATTCTTTCATTTAAATCCACCTTGGTTCCTTTTAGCTTGCCTCACTGTTCCAGTTTAGTCCTAACTCTTAATATAAAACATTCATATAATGAAATACACACTATTGGATGCAAACAAGTGAGAATAACTAGTTTGGATCTCCACTGGCCCTACTTTCCTTTTAAGTAGTAACTTTCATGTAAGTATTCACATTCTAGTCAACCAACTGAGATGTGTTCTCTGATGGTCTAGTCAACCAGGAAATGTGTAGACAGTGCTTATATACTGAGGGGTCTTATCTAGATTTCAGGTGACCATTCAGAATTAGTTTGTAGAACCATCAAAAATCATGTTTGGCCGGCAATTTCAGGGCCAGGGCAAAGGTGCCAAAAGTTAAATAACTGAGTGTGTTGACCTATTGATAATGATTTTCAGTTACTTAAGACAGCCATGGTTACCACCAGTTTAGACTATTAAATGGCAGGCATCTGTCCACTCTTTTGACTCTTTGTTGTGAATTGTTAAAATATAACTGCTTTCATAAAGTGGTACTTTGTATATTTAAACAACCACACACACAAAGCCTTCCTGTGGGAAAAGGACGGGTCACCCATACAATCAGTAAATATTCACATGACCTACATTATGTTTCAGGAACTGTGCTAGTTGCTGCAAATCCAAAGATTAAATTTTATAAATAAAGAGAGCCCCGACCTCAGGAAGTTTATAATCTAGTGGGAAACAGATACGCAAACAAATCAAAGTAACCTGGATAATCCATTCATCTCTAATATATTGCTGAGGCACCCAGGCATCCTTGGAAGAAAGGGTAAAAGTGTAATTATCAGAACTTCCCTTCGGAAAGTTGAAAGGAACACTAAACTTGGATAAATAAGCCACTTAAGATGGTAATGAAATTGGTTAGGGGCCTGGGCCATCTATCTGCCTTCCATGGGGTTTGGTTAAGTTAACTACAGGGATTTAGTTTGGCTGGGTGGGGCATACAGACTTGGGAGGGGTTATCTTACCATTTCCCTTAAACCATACTTAGTCTCTTCTCCAAATGAAATTTGAACAAAGATTTCAAGGACATTCTCTTGACAGGGACTTCCAGAGAGGTTCACATGTCTAGGTCTAACTATTATTATGATTCAGTGAGAAAATTTAGGGAGGCTTAAGCAAACTTTCTCAGGGGTTAAATGGATCACTTCTGGGAAAGTGTGGGAAGACTTCTCACAAGAGATTTTTTTGTGTGTGGGGAGGCCTGAAAAGTTAGTATCAGTTCCTGGAGATAAGTTTTTCCAGAAAACGTGAATGAATTGTGAGTCATCATAGAGACACAAGATCACATCCTCTATCTGGGAACATAAGAGGACTCCTAGCAAGAGAGAAGTGTGGGCAGCAGGGCTTTAACCTGTAGATGATGGAGAACTCTAGCATGCCTGAACTGTGGGGCATGACAGTGGGAAGGTGGGCTGACATGGGGCAAGGCTGGAGAGGAAGCAAGGGAAGTATTCCAGGAGACTGATGGCACGGAGCAGAATTTGGAAGCTATAGAGCTACTCAGAAATGTGAATGATTAGACTTCCGTAATTGGAAACACGGGGAGTAAGGGGGTAGGGTGGCTAAGAGCGCCTCTTGGAATACTGGGTGGAGATGTGGTTTCACTGTGTGCTTTCTTGACTCTTACACAATAAGTTATTTCTCTTCTTGCATTTCTTAATAGGAATGTATGTATATTTGAGGAGAAAAGAGAAATTATCTTGCTTCAACTCCAGCCTTATCATAAGGAAAAAAGATAAAAGCTCAGGAATGCAGTATTTTTGCTAAATCAGCAATACCATTCCTGGGCTGTGCCACAATGAGGGACAGACTTTTTACAAAGGATCCAGAGTCATCACCCAAGAAGTGTCCTTCATATTGTCGATGTAGGTTTTCAAGTCAAACAAAACCAGAAAGGAAGAGAGGAAGGGAGGTGGGAGAGAGGAAATATAAATGGAAAGGAAAGGAAAGGGGGGGGGGAAGAAGAGAAAGAAGGAAGGAGGAAAGGAAGAAAGATTTTGATAGAACAACAAAACGAAGTCCTAGATTGTGTGGAAAGCAAAGAAATAAAGAGCTAAGAAAAAAAGAGGAAGAAATGAGCAGACCCAGGTTCATCCCCTGAGAGGGTGGTTTAAAGGTTAAGTGTTTCCATATGAAAAGCTGACTTTAGCAGGACTCTGGACACACTCAGAGCAGAGAGAGAGGGACGGAGACAGAGAGAGATGGAGGTGTAAGCTTAATACTGTTAATGAATTGTTTTAGAATAAAAACTCCTCGAGGTCAGGAATTATGCATTTCACAAAGCAAAATTAAAAGTTCATCTCCTTCTGTATATATGACAAAGGATTGTATTTTGTTTTAAATCCCTCAAGTATCCTAGTAGAGAAGGATATTGCGTATTTGGACATTCAGTTTCTCAGAGAATCAGCAATAAAATGTATAAAAATAATTTACTCACATTGGAATTGTAGAAATCTTCTTGGCCTAGAGGCAATAAAACCTTCTCACTCAGCATTTGTGATCCCTTTAATTCCCTCTTTACATCGTATTATAGGCTGAGTTTTTTGTTTGTTTGTTTGTTTTTTGTGGTTCGCGGGCCTCTCACCGCTGCGGCCTCTCCCGTTGCGGAGCACAGGCTCCGGACGCGCAGGCTCAGCGGCCATGGCTCACGGGCCCAGCCGCTCCGCGGCATGTGGGATTTTCCCGGACCAGGGCACGAACCCGTGTTCCCTGCATTGGCAGGCGAACTCTCAACCACTGCGCCACCAGGGAAGCCCTAGGCTGAGTTTTTAAAATAACTGTCAAATAGTTTCATTATTGAGTTTTGTCATTTGTCAAGAGAGTTTTCTTATTGGGTTTTGTTATGGGACAGAGACATATCTGTTCTTCTTGTGTTCTTTCCACTGCTGTAGCAGTAAATTTCCTCAATACCTTCTTTCAGCACATAGGAAATTTGACTGCTCAGCCATCCACCAGTAATAAAAGAAAACCCAAATGTGAAGGAGACAGGAATAATCAGAGAAAGAAAAGATAACATCTATGAAGTTTGCCTGAGGAAGTCCAGGATCGATTCCAGGTTTAAAAGCACAGAAATGAGCCTGAATGAAAGCTTTGTATATTTCAGAGGCCAGGTTCTAAACAGAGAGCCCTGTAAAAGCTCGAGTTGACTCCAGCTCACTCAGTTATCAAGCTTTGCCGAGTGCTCCTGAGGTCAGTGGGTTGGTCTTTTTCAGGCCAGCTATTTTGGCTTTTGGTGCCCCAGCTATAGCATATCCTTAAATTTCTCTATCTTAGACATCTTGCCTCTCATCTTAAAAGGGATCAGAGAGAAAAAGGGAAGACTCTTTGCCCAACTGATGCTTAGAGAAAAATGACATCAAGAGACTGGCTAGAGCTGGATCAGTGTACTTGAAATTTTAAGACTTAACAAAGTGCTGAGCCTAAGGAAGGTAACTGTAAGTACCTGCAGGACCCCCTTCCTTGCGGAAGAGAAGGCACAAAGATGTAATAATAACCAACACGGATTCACTGTGTGCCAGGTATTGGGCTGAGGGCTTTCAATACACTTCTCATTTGATCCTTATAACAACTCTTTGAGAGAGGTTATTATCTCTGCTTTTACAGAAGATTCACAGAAACCTTGAGAGGGTGCTTTAGTTATTTATTACTGCATAATGAATTGTTCTCAGACTTAAAACAACAAATATGTGTTATCTCACAGTCTCTATGGGTCAGGAATTTGTCAGAGGCTTAGCTGGCTGTTTCTGGCTGAAGGTCCCTCATGCTGCTTCAGTCGAGATATCATCTGAAGGCTTGACTAGGGCTGGGGGATCCCCTTCCAAGCTCTCTCACGTGGCTGTTAGCCAGAGGCCTCAGTTCCCTGTAAAGGATGGGTTTTTCCAAAGGGTGCCAGGGCAGCTGTCTTCCCTTAGAATGAAGGATATGAGAGAGCAACTGAATAGGGAGCCTCAGAGCTTTTTTTGACCTAGCCTCAGAGGTGATGTGCCATCACTTCTGCTGTATTCTATTGGTCACACAAAGCAACCCCGATACAAAGTGAGAGGGCATTACACAAGGGCATGAATATTGGGGTGGAGATCACTGGGGCCATCTTGCAGGCTGGCTACCAAAGTTAAGGAAGTTGCTCGAAGTTCCACAGAGTTGGCGTTTCACGCTCAGGCACCGTGCCTCTAGAGCTGGTACTTTGTGATCAGGTATAAAGTTAATGTGGCCATATTAGCATAAATGTTACAACTTCCTATTTATATGACTATATTTAATTTCATGACTGCTAATCCCTGGGTGCCAGTGTTCTGGGGAAAAGTGCCTGCTGCTGCCTCTGTTCCTACACAGAGCTGTAGAGGAGCAACAGCTTCCAGCCCAGAACTGACATCCCACTCTTTTGACTGGTCTTATTAAGTGTTTTCAGTGGCAGTAGTAGGTCCAGATTGAGTACTTGCACTGGATTACACTTGTTTTGTTTCCAGTGTATACTGTGTTATTTCATCTGATCCTCACAAAACAATCCACGTCAGAGGAGGTATTAATTTCCTGACTTGTTACCCTTAAG